GTCCTGAGTCACGGGCCGCCCGGGAACCAGGCCCCGGGAATTCCTGTCCCGGGACTGAGTGACACCAGGGGCCGAATCCGGCCGCTGACTTCCGTGTGACTCCCAGGCTAAGAATGAGCCCGCTCAGAAAAGAACAAAGCAATTTGTAAAGAATAGTTTGTGATAAAATTAAAACATATATATGAAATTCAGATGTCCACGCCCCGCAGTGAGGATGGATGGGAACGCGCCTGCACCCGCTCGTCCGCATTGTCTAAGGCAGCGTTGGTGGCTTAGCGGCCGCTGCAGCAGCACCACGGAGGAGTCGCAAAGCCTGGGCCGTGCACCGTCCGCCCTGGAGGAAAGTTGGCTGTTCCCAGCCCTGGGCGTCCCCACCCTTGGTGACAGGGACTCAGGGCCCAGCGAGGGGCGCGTCTCCCAGGAGCCCCTGGCAGCTGAGTCTCTGTGTTTGGGGTGAACACTGGCAGAGCGGGCGGTGGGTGCCCAGGAGGGTGTTTTGCTGACCGTTTTCCGTTTTAGCTGGGGTGGTGGTATCGGGCCTTTTCCTGAGAAGGGGCTACAGGCCAGTGCAGGGAGCGGGAAGGGCCTCCCCCATCCTGGGAGAGACCTGAAGTGCAGGGGCCTTGCCCTGGGGTGCCTGGGGGGCTTCCAGCTGAGTGGGCCCCTGGGCATCCACCTCTGGGGGCCAAGGGCTTCCCTGTTGCATCTCCATCAGGAGCCTGGGGGTCTTGGTGCAGGCACTGGGGTGCAGCTGGGATGGCTCTCCTTGCTCAGCCTGTCCGTGGCTCCCACAGCCTTTAACCTGCTCGAGCCTGGCCCCGGCCTCCAGCCCCCAGCCTGCTCCCCAGACAGCACAGCTGCACCCCCACGTTTGCGCCTGTGTTTTCCACCTTTGCTTCTCCCTCTGTGTCCCACCTGCCTCGGCCCTGCTCAAAGTCTGCTCTTGCAAGAAGCTTCTCCGGTCCCGAGATTTCTCAAGGTCATGAGCACAGTTTCTCTATCCTCCCCCACTCCCCGCTGGATGGGGAGCGGAGGAGCTGAGCACACAGCCCTCGGTCATTCCTGCTTGGATTGAAACGTCAGCTCAGCCGCCTGTGGCCGTGGGAACCTGGGCAGCTTTCTAAACCCGAGCCTCAGTAACCCACCTCCAAACTGGGTCTGACAGCAGCGCTGACTGCAGAGGGCCTCGTGGAGCTGAAGTGAGATGCACAGGCAAAGGACAGCCGCAGGCGCACAGTGGCTCTCGGTGGTGGCGTGTTTGAATGTTTGTGGGCACTTGCACATGACCGAGATGGGACGCTTCTCTGTATGTCACATTCACCCGGCTGGCAGGCAGCACGGATTCGTCCTGGCCCCTGGCTGTTGGATCTCCAGTCTGGCCACATGCCCAGGCCACGCCACGGCATGCCCGAGTGGGTACCGGAGCAGGCATAGGGGGACGGCCAGAGGCTGGGGTCCTGCTGTGTGACTCCAACCCAGAGAAGCCACGCTGGACTCCGGCCAGGGCTGAGCAGCCAGAGCCAGGGAGGACCCCAGCACAGCCGGACTGGGCCCAGGACGGCTACTGGGCTGGCTCAAGGTTCCAGGCTCCGGAGGTGGAGCATGGTGAGCTGGAGTCTCGGCGCCTGGCAAAGGCTGGGTGACCAGGACAGATTCCCAGGGGCCGAACAGAGCCTGCGGCCAGGCTGCCCCGGGTCAGAGCTCGTGAGCACTTCACAGCCCCTGCCCGAGTGGGAGGGGTCCAGGCCTGCAGGGCCAGGCGCCAGGGCTGCGGGGAGCAGAGCCAGGGGGCAGCAGGGCCGTGACTGTGGCCTGGGCCCACTTTCTGCTCCCAGGAAGGACAAAAGTCACCGCCACCCTGCCAGCCCTTCCTGGACCCTCCAGGGAGCCGGCACCCGGCACTGATCACCATGCGCTCGGAGCGGCGGGCCCCCGTCTGCAGCCTGGAACCAAGAACCCGATCTGTGTGTGGCTGGGGCAGGGCTGAGCAGCCTGGTCCACACAGAGCTGCAGAGAACACCCAGGGAGCTGCCAGGGAGCTGCCGGGTGCTCTGGTGGCCTTGCCTGCCTTTGCATCTCGCCACTACCACAGCCGAACACCGCTCTTCTGCCTCCGGCATCTGGATCCCCTGTGAAGGGGGTCACGGGCCGAGTCCAGGCGCTGCCCCTTGGGAACTCACTGTCCCTTCCTCGCGCCCCAGCTGTGGGCGCGATCTGTTTCGTGGGCATGAGGCCCCTGGCAATGACAGCAAACACAAAATCCAGAGCTCAAGGACACAGCGCACGCTGGGAATAACGAAGAGCAAGACGGGAACCCAGGACACAGGTGCAGAAGCCAGGTGCCTCCGGTAGGTCTGGGACCAGGAGGAGCCAGGGAGGGCGGTCACTGGCCCTTCTGGCACCCACAGTGACAAGTGGCAGCAGCTACCACATGGAGCTGGCCTTAGGGTCATAGTGGGCGGTCGCCTCGTCAGTTCCAAAGTAACAAAGACTCTTAAAGGGGTGGCCATTTGATGTGGAGGTTAAGAGGCCTGAATTCCATATGGAAGGGCCTGGGTTTGCGTCCCAGCTCTGGCTCCTGACTCCAGCTTCCTGCTAATGCAGACCCTAGGAGGCAGCAGAAGGTGGCTCAGGTACTCAGGTCCCTGCCACCCACATGGGAGACCTGGACAAAGTTCCGCCTCCCAGCTCCAGCCCTGGATCAACCTGGACTGTTGCAGGCATTTGAGAAGTGAACCAGCAAATGGAAACATTCTCCCTCTTCCCCTTTCCCCCTCCTTCTCTCTCTCCCTCCCTCCCCTTCCCTCCCTCCTTCCTCCTCTCCTTCCCCCTATCCCGCCCCCTTTCCCTCTGGGATGCTGGCACTGCAGGCAGAGGCTTAGCCCAGTATACCACAGCACCAGCCCCTATTTAGGCAGTTTTTGAAAAAAGATTTATTGGGGCTGGCACTGTGGTACAGTGGGTTAACGCCCTGGCCTGATGCGGCGGCATCACATATGGGCGCCAGTTTGAGTCCCAGCTGCTCCACTTCCGATCCAGCTCTCTGCTATGGCCTGGGAAAGCAGTAGAAGATGGCCCAAGTCCTTGGGCCCCTGTACCTGCGTGCAAGACCTGGAAGAAGCTCCTGGCTCCTGGCTTTGGATGGGCGCAGTTCCGGCCGTTGCTGCCAACTGGGGAGTGAACCAGTGCATGGAAGACTCTCTCTCTCTCTCTCTCTCTCTCTGTGTGTAACTCTGACTTTCAAATAAATCAATAAATCTTTAGAGAAAAAGATTTATTGATTTATTTGAAAGAGTTATAGACAGAGAGAGAGAGAGAAATATCGTTCTTCCATCTGCTGGCCTACTCCCCAAATGGCCACAATAGCCAGGTCAAAGCCATGAGCCTGGAACTCCATCCAGGTCCCTCATGTGGGTGCAGGGGCCCAAGCACTTGGGCCATCTTCCACTGCTTTCCCAGGTGCATTAGCAGGGAGCTGGATTGGAAGTGGAGCAGCTGGGACTTGAACTGGTGCCCATATGGGATGCTGGTGTTGCAGGCAGTGGCTGTTACCTGCTACTCCACAATGCCAGTCCTATATGCAGTTCATTTTCAAAGACAGAGAGAGAAGCAGACAACAGAGAGATGTGCCACCTGTCAGTTTACTTCCCTCATCCCTAGAACAGCCTGGGTTGAGCCAGGCAGGAGACAAGAGCTGGGAATTCAATCCAGGTTCCCCACATGAGCAGCAGGGGCCCAACTACTTGAGCCATCACCACTGCCAGGATGTGCATTAGCAGGAAGCTGGAATTGGAAGCGGTTCCAGGATTCAGTCCCAGGCACCCCGATTCTCCATACGGGTGTCCCAAGGGGGGCCCCTAACCGCTGCCCCACACACCTGCCCTGCGTGCCTCTGGGGAGAGGACCTGGCTGCAGCTGGGGGCTACTTACAACATACAGGGACACATTTTCACCTTCAGCCTATGTGCCACTAGGCTTTGTAGCTTGTGCATTTATCATCCACTCCCGAAATAAAGAAGACACTCATTTCAAAGTAGCATGTGGGCAGCAGGCATTGGCCCAGCAGCCAAGATGGCCACCCACATGCTGGCCCCATTCCCACCACCTAGTGGCACTCCAAGCACCAGCTGTGCGCTGTGCCTTGGAGGAAGAGGACCCGTTAACCCATCATGTCCCTGTGGGACAGCCTTGCCCCGCTCCCAGTGCCGTCTCTGGCCCTGATGTGTGGGAGGAGCTGGTGATTGATTGACAGGGGTGAAGCTTCAGGCCACCCTGCTCCCCAGAGGGCCTGGCCTGGGGCCCGACGTGTCAATGTTTGATGTACGTCAGCAGCTCTGCCTGCAGTGGCCTAGCAGCACCAATAACGGTCTGCTGGGAGCCCCTTATTAATGTGTCACTTACGAGAGGGAGGCAGCCAGCCAAGCAGAGCTCTGGACGGCGTCCAGGTGGCCCAGGGACTTGCAGTGTGGTCCCAAGCCCATGATGTCCCTGTCTGTCCGTATCTTAGGAAGATGACAGGACCCCACCAAGGACAAATGGCTGGAAGTGATTTGACTCAGACCCAGGTCCATCTGTCTGCAAACCCTGGGTCTGCCTAGCACGCAGGCGGCCCCAGCTACATGCAAGAGCTGCCTCCAGCCCCTCAGCTGGTGTCTAGCACACAGCTGGATTCAGGCACACAGCTGGATTCAGGCTCTGCTGCGCAGCCCCCTGAGAGTGTGCCCCGAAGGCCAGGCTCAGGGCCCGCTCTGTGAGCCCGGAGGCCGCAGCCTGGGACGGTGTGGCCAGGATGGGAGGGACTAGCGCATATGGTCAGGGTACCCAGGCTGGGAATGGGAGTGGTCCCTGATGCCAACCCCAGGCTCTTCACGCACACCCCCATATCCTCCAGGCCTTCCGATGCCCGGTGGCTGGCGCCAACCCCAAAACACACCTGCCGGTCCCGAGCCGCTGGGGCGGCAGGTGCCCACGCTTGGCCGCCTCAACCCGGGGCCCCAGCCTCGGAGCCGCTAGGGATGCTTCGCCCAGCAGACGCCCGCAGAGGACGCTCCTGGGAGACGCGCAGCCGCCGCGCAGCCGCAGGCCCTCGCTGTCCGGCCCCGGCCCCGCCCCTCCAAGGCCCCGCCCCCTCCCGTCCCCCGGCCGCGGCGGGTTCCGGTCGAAGTTCCAGCACGGCGACCTGGGTGAGGCTGGAGCGACTCATGAAGGTGTTCGTCACCCGCAGGATCCCCCCCGAGGGCAGGGCCGCGCTCGCCCAGGCCGCAGAGTAAGAGGCCGCGTCTCGGTCGCGGAGAGGCTCCCGCCCGGCGGTGTCGCCCAGGAACTGCGTGGCCCGGAGCGCGCGAGCCCGCTCCGGGGTCTCGGGCGCCCCTGCCCGGGTGACTCAGCGATCTCTAGGCGCTCCTGGGGACGGGGGGCTGGACGCGGGCGGGGGGCGGCCTTCAGACGCGGTTTGGAGGTCGGGCGGGACAGCGCTCGCCTTGGCTGAACTTGGGGGAGACGGAGGTTCCGGGGCGCACCTTGCAGTGTCTGGGACCTGCTGCTCTCCTTGGCGCGGGGTGGCCGGGAGGGCACCGGAGCCGGAGTTGAGCCGCTGACGCAAGTCCAGGCTGTTCATTCTTTACCCTCCGGGGTTGCGGGATAGGCAGGCGGGGTCAGGGACCTTAGGGGTCACTGGCCTGGCCCCGTGGGAGGTTGGCGGTGGCCTTTGATGACCTGTCCTGCGGGCCATCAGGCTCTAGACCGGGAGGTGGGACCCAGCCCCCGGTGTAGGGGAGAGAGGTTTGTATACTTATTTGGGTCAGTGCAACAAAACCTCAGCTCAGGGCCTGCTTGTCCTGGGAGAAAGGCCAGCGGGCAAGGGGCAGGCAGAAACAAGGGCGCTGACCACAGGGCTCCCTCTGGCCTGCACTGAGCGGTGGGTGCCATGGGCGGGCCGGCACGGGCCCAGGTGTTGAACACCCAGCCACACAGCAGGCCCACCTGTGTTGGCTGCACTGTGTTGGGCCGGCTCTTCTCCGTGGACAGCTGAGCCAAGTCCCCAGCACTGTCGCCCTCTCAGTTCGGGCTGCACCTGGGGGTGGCTCAGCCCCTGCCGGCTCCGTCTGCTCTGTGGCAGCCCTGCGCCCTCCGGCCACCCTCGGGCAGGCAGCTCTGCTCAGGTGGGGACTGAGGGGCCTGCCTTCCCTTCTTCAGCTGTGAGGTGGAGCAGTGGGACTCAGATGAGCCCATCCCCAGCAAGGAGCTGGAGCGCGGCGTGGCGGGGGCCCACGGCTTGCTCTGCCTGCTCTCTGACCGTGTGGACAAGAAGGTTCTGGACGCTGCAGGTAAGTGCCCTGGGCGCACCTAGAGGGGTGACCAGCAACTCAGCCCAGGGTGCTCTCTGGGTCCCAGGCCTGCTGCGGACACTGCCCCCCCCCCCCCCGTCCTGCTACAAGTCCCTGGGTGAAGCCCAGGAGGCCAAAGACGCTGGTGTGGAGGCCGGGGTGGGAGTCAGTGTGGCGCAGCACCTGAGGCCCTGGGCCCTCCTCCGGCCCTGCCGCAGCCCTGCCTTAAGGCCCCAGCACACCCTTGTAGAGCATGGTGGGGAGGGATGGGGTAGGCCACCTGGAGACCCTGACAGCTGTGAGAGTGTTGAGACTGAGAGGCAGCCAGCTGGGGAGGGAGCCTCGTGAGTCAGTGCCGAGCCCTCCGGGCCCCAGTGCTGGCCCGGGAGCTCTAAGGTTCTGCTTGGAGGAGAGGGTGTGAGAGGGTCCGGCACCTGCCACTCCTTAGCGTTCCCAGGTGTCCGCAGGCAGCCGCAAGCTTCACTGGGTGGGTAGGGGGGTCCCTGGTGTCAGAGGCCCCGAGGTGAACCCCGGCTCCGCTCGGCCCTGGGCCAGGCCGCTGACCCTGTCTGACTCAGGCTGCACAGAGCTTTACGCGAGGCACGGAGATGTCGCCGTGCCTCGTTCTCAGAAAGCCCTAACCAGGCATCCGCACCGAGTCCCCCGTGGCGTGTCTCTGACTTCCACGAGGAAGAGAAACGATGCGTTTTCTGTTGCAGGAGCCAACCTCAAAGTCATCAGCACGCTGTCCGTGGGGGTTGACCACTTGGCTTTGGATGAGATCAAGAAGCGGTGAGTGCAGCTGGGGTTTGGGAGGAGGGGCCTGGGGAGGGGCGTGGCCCAGTGGGGAGGAGGGGCATGTGTTTGGTTTCCGCTCAGAACTCCAGATGGCTGATGGTGGCCTCTGTCCACGCATGCACCCGTCATGTAGGATGCACCCGAGAGGTCGGAGAGGGCAGCCTCTGTCTAGGTGTCCTCTCTCCCTTCATGGTCTTGTTTTGATGCGCACAAACAACACAGGACGTAGAAAAGGAAGTGTGTGGATCACCTGTCCGATTGCTTCCACCTTCACGTCCTTCCCAAAGTGGAAGACCGTCAAAACGGGAATGAACACTGACCGTTCCCTTAACAGTTCTGAGCTTCCTGACAGGCAGAGCAAAAAGGGAACACAGTAACTCCCTGGCAGTGTCCTCAGTAAAGGTTGTGTTGGTTTTAATTAGTGCAGCCACTGTGGAAGGTAGTGTGGAGATGTCTTTCTTTTTTTCAAAGATTTATTTATTTGAAAGGTGGAGACATGGGGTGGGAGGCGGAGAGAGAGAAAGAAAACCTTTCATCTGTTGGTTCACTCCCTAAATGGCTGTGATGGCTGGAGCTGGGTCGATGCAAAGCCAGGTGCTTCTCCTGGTCTCCCATGTGGGTGCAGGGGCCCAAGCACTAGCGCCATCCTCCACTGCTTCCCACATACCTTACCAGGGAGCTGGATTGAAGTGGAGCAGCTGGGACTGGAACCGGCGCCACTGTGGGATGCGGGCACTGCAGGCAGTGGCCTAGCCTGATGCGCCGCAGCTCCGGCCCCAGTGAAGGTGTGCAAGGCCTGTGGCCCACTGGGTGTTTGATTCGCAGTGGAATCAGAGTGGGCTACACCCCAGACGTCCTGACCGACGCCACCGCGGAACTCGCCGTCTCCCTGCTGCTCACCACCTGCCGCCGGTTGCCCGAAGCCATCGGGGAAGTGAAGAAGTGAGTGACGTCAGCCCTGCCCAGCGAGGACGTGCTCCCTGTCCCCGGGGGTGCTCCATCTCGGGAGGGGGCGACTCGGCCAAGTTCAGAGCAGCAGTGAACGGGGCACGCAGGAACACCGTGAGAGAGGAGGGTGGGAGCGGCACGTGTTCTGCTGGTTGGAGGGCAGTGGGGCAGGAGCGTGCTGGGGGCCGCTTCTGGGAAGAAGCAGCTGTGGCGTCCTCTGGAGCCCTCTGGGGTGGTGCCGAGCCCGGATGCTGTCTCTGTGCTGTCTGGGGGGAGGGGGCACCTCTGCTGGCTCTTAGCCGCCCCTCCTCCCACATCTGCCACCTGCTGCTCCCAGCTCTCGCGGGCTGTGTGACTCCAGGCAGGCCCCCTTTCTCCTCTGTTTCCCTGTGGATGAGGGTCTCCCAGGTCCCGTCCAGTCCTGGTTTTCTGCGTTCCTGACGGCTGCAAAGGAGGGGTTCTGTGGGGGTGGCTTGTTCGATGGCAGCCCCTTGACTGTGGCCCGGGTGACGGCCGTGCACGCTCCCAGGGCCCCAGGCCTCTCACCTGCCCCTGCTCTCCTGCAGCGGTGGCTGGACCTCGTGGAAACCCCTGTGGATGTGCGGCTACGGACTGACGCAGAGCACGGTCGGCATCGTGGGGCTGGGCCGCATAGGTGAGCGTGGGCTTGGGGTGACCCCTGGCCCTGTGTGCTCGCCCTCCGAAAGTGCCCCTGTGTGAAGGAAGGGCCGCCTCGGCCACACACTGCCAGGCACTTTGCACACGGTGGGGCTGGCGCCCTTGGGAAGGTACAGCCTCGAAAGCCTAGGCTAACGAGTCAGTAAAACCTGGAGTCCCTGGCGGACGCGCCGGGCATGAGTAAGAGAAGCGGGGTGTCAGGAGCCAGGGCTCTGTAGGACTTGGGCTCCGTAAAGAACAGACAAAGGCCGCAGGCGGGCGGCTCCAGGAGTGCTTTCTGGTGGGAGAGCCGGGGTGCCCAGGGTGCTCATCTGTGATGGCTTTGCTGGGGAGGCAGAGTTCACCCGCAGTTCTGCAGACCAAGTAGGGCTGTTTTTCTCCCCGTGGCCCTGTCTGGAGGAGCCCAGTAGTTGCAGTGGTTGCGTGGGGGTGTGGATGAGGGCACCTGTCACTCGCTGCCTAGAGGAACCCCGCCACTTTGGGGCATCTGCTGGCTTTGAAACCCCCGCCCCCCGCCCACACCTGTCCCCAGGGCGCATGGATAACAGGTGTCGCAGGCTCGGGGCAGGGCAGCAGTTTGATGATGCTGCTAAGAAGTCAAATGAAGGGCAGGTGTTCGGGCTGGTGGCTGCGATGCTGCATCCCATGTCGGTGCCTGGGTGCGAGTCCCAGCTCTGCCTCCCATCCCCGTTCTCACTGCTGCAGACTGAGTGGCCCCAGTTTTGGCTCCAATAATCGGGTCCCTGCCACTCATGTAGGAGCCGTGCATTGAGCTCCTGGCTTTGGCCTAGCCCTGGTCACTGGTGAGAACTGTGTCTCGGTCTTTGCTTCTGGAATAAGTTATTTATTTTAAAACTTTTTTAAAAAATTTCATTTTATTTGAAAGGCAGATAAACAGGGAGCCAGGGAGAAAGCTCTTCCATCCACTGGTTCTTTCCCCAGAGGCCCACAATAGTGAGGCCCGGGTCAGGCTAAAGCCAGGAACCCGTTACTCCATCCAGGCCTCCTGTTCTTGAGCCATCATCTGCTGTCCCCCGGGGTGCGCCTTAGCAGGAAGCTGGTTTGGAAGCAGAGGGGCTGGGACTCGGATGTGGGATGCTGGTGACCGAAACGCTCCGCCAGACGCCGAACCCTAAATCCAGTTTTAAAAATGTACAAAAGTCAAGTGAGCTCTGTTGCGCGTTAACAAGAGCCGAGGCTCTAGAAGCCGGGAGGGGAGTGCTTGGGCAGGCGCCTCCAGGCGTGCCGGGTCCGGTTCAGGGAAGGTGAGCAAATGGTCCCTGAGGTGGCTGGGACCCCGAGAGGACAGCGTAAGCCGGTCACAGGTGCAGAACAGCTCGGGGTTCCTGGGGCAGTGTGGGTGGCGCAGCCGTGCCCCCGCCAAGACACAGCCAGTTAAGGTGGGGCCGTGCCGCTGGCAGGGCCTGCCCCTGGGGGCGCTGTGACGCTGCTGCTGCCCTCTGTGAGCGTAGGAGCACGCCGTGGACCCTGACTCCTTGTTCCAGGCCAGGCCATTGCTCGGCGTCTGAAACCCTTTGGTGTCCAGAGGTTTTTATACACCGGGCGGCAGCCCAAGCCCCAGGAAGCAGCAGAATTCCAGGCTGAGTTTGGTAAGTACAACCTTGATTTCCACTGGAGGCCGCCTGCGCTGGGGTGGGGACGGGGCTCTTATTTATCTATTTATTTATTTATTTTTATTTGAAAGCGTGACAGAGGGAGAGCCCCATCTTCCATCTACTAGTTCACTCCCTAAGTGGTCACAGCTCTGTCTGGGTCTCCCATGTGGGTTCAGGGGCCCAAGCACTTGGGCCCTCCTTTGCTGCTTTCCCAGGTGCATTAGCGGGGAGCTGGATTAGAGGCGGAGCGGCTCGGACTCGAACCAGGCACTCCAGCACAGGGTGTCTGGCTTAACCCGCTGTGCCTGATGCTGCCCCTCCGTTTTCTTGAAGGGTGGCATTGCAGTCAGAATGCAGGGACTCTGGGTGGTCTGGGGGCTGCTGTGTCCCGGGTGTCACCTCATCTACCTGGCCCTGGACATGGCGACCACCCAGGGGGTTCTCAGCACTAGGCCTCCTCGTCTCAGAGTCCCTGTCCCCACCGCCGGGTGAGGGCAGAGCAGCAGGGATGGCGTGGAGGGGAGCGAGCGCCGAGCACTCACGCTGGCGAGCAGGGCCCCAGCCCTGGGTGCCTTCGTCCAGGGGACCCGGTCCCTTGCCGGGCATGCAGCGAGCAGGGCGGGCAGCAGGCTGGGTCTCACCCCGCGTTTGTCCCCTTGCCGCATGGGCCCTGAGGGTGGTGAGGCCTGGGCAGCGCTCACGGGGCCTGCACCTCCCTGGCCTGGGTTCCCTGCTCAGTGCCCAGACCCAGGGGCTGGGCAAACGCTGTGAAGGCCCAGGCTCCCACAGTGGCCATGGACTTTGTCATCGGAGCCGTGCAGATGGAGACGGGACCTCCAGGAAGCTTTGTGATGGCAGGAGGAAGGGGGCTGCCCTGCACCTGCCCATGACGGCTGATGGCGCCCCCGCCCCCACAGTGTCCGCCTCACAGCTAGCCGCAGAGTCGGACTTCGTGGTTGTGTCCTGTGCCCTCACGCCGGCGACCAAGGGGCTGTGCAACAAGGACTTCTTCCAGAAGATGAAGGGCACGGCCGTGTTCGTCAACATCAGCAGGTACTCCTGGGCTGCAGCGAGCCCGCGGCCGGGCGGACGGGCAGACGGGCGGCCCTGCTCGTGTGACCTGGGGCTGTTGACGAGACCTCAGCTCAGGCTGCTCATCTCCAGCAACCAACCAGCCAGCCAACCAGCTAACTGACCAACTAACCAAGCATCCAGCCAGCCAGCCAGCTAACTAAACAACTGACTAACCGGCCGACCAGCCGACCAGCTAACCAACCAGCTCACACGGAAACAGGGAAGGCCAGGTCAGGCAGGAATGCAGTTGAGCAGGGCCGCACGCAGCCTGGCCTAGTGCGCAGCCGTGTGGGCTTACGGAGTGGTGACCTGTCACCAGGGCGCCTTGGGCAGGCCCCTTTTCCTCTATCGGGATCCCCATGCTGACCGCAGTGACTGAACCTCCATGCCCTCTGAGCCTGTGACTCGGAGTCCCCAGAATGTCCCCAGGGTGCCCACAGCCACTGGCACGTGTGGGGGTGGCCCCTTCCCTGCCCCTCCCGCCCCTCCCAGGCGGTTCCCCTCCGCACCTATTAGAATCACTTTGGAAGCAGGCTTTGGCTGAGGTCACCCCAAGGGCTTGTGCCTCCACGATTGCCTGGCATTGCCAGCGATCAGCTACAAGGGAGGTGACGCGGGAGGTGGAGGAGGGACACGTGCGGGAGTACAGCTCGTGCTGATGGCCAGCAGGTGCCAATGCTTCCATGCGCCAAGCACCAGCTGTGCCCAGGGCTGCACAGGGCCTGCATCCCCCATTGTCACATGTCTCAGTGCCTCGTAGGAAGGCACAGTCGTGTGTTTACTTCAGAGACGACTCACTGGATGGAGGTAGGCGGCTGCCCAGCTCTGGTGATGACCCTGCCGGGTGGCGTGCCATGGCCATTTGCAGCAGGTGTTCTGAGAGGCAGCCAGGTCAGCACTGCCTGGGTGTGGCCAGGTCAGATGCAGCGTGCTGGGCCTGTCCGTGAGCAGCTCTCGTCCTCCCACAGTGCTTGCTGTAGTTTACCGAGAGCAAGCCTGTCCAGGATCACACGGCTAAAGTGGCAGGGCTGTGGTCTGAGTATAGAGACCTGCATTCCCATACAGCCTTCGGTTCTCAAAGTCTTGCTCCTTAAGTAAACAGTATTTTTTTTTTCTTTAAAGGCAGAGCGACAGCTCCTATCCACTGACTCCTGTGAAAGTCGGTGCTGGGGTGGGCGTTGTCTTAGGGGTTAAGATATGTCCACACCCCATATGGTAGTGTCTGGGTTCGACACCAGCTCTGGCTCCCGACTCCGGCTTCCTAATGCACGCCCTGGGAGGCAGCAGGTAATAGCTCAAGTAGTTGGGTCCCTGCCAACCTGGCTCCTGGCCTGGTACAGCCCTGGCCACTGTGGGCATTGGGGAGTGAAGCAGAAGATGGGAGTGCTCCGTTTGTCTTGTTCTCTCTCTGCCTCTCAAATCAACAACAACAATTTTTTAAAAGATTTTATTTGAAAGAGAGGGAGAGAAAGAGATCTTCCATCCACTGGTTCACTTGCCAAATGACTGTAACAGTCAGGACTGGGCCAGACCAAAGCCAAGAGCCAGGAACTCCATTGGTCTGCCACCAGGTGGCCCGGGCCCAGGCACCTGGGCCACCAGCTGCTGCCTTTCCAGGCACATCAGCAGGGAGCTGGGTCAGAAGCAGAGCAGCTGGGGCTTGAACCATATGTTGCAAGTAGTTGCTAGCGTTGCTAGTGTTGCAAGTGGTGGCTTAACCTGCTGTGCCACAACAATGGCCCCAGTGAAAAAAAGTCACTGCCAAGGGCCCAGTCTGTGGAAAAATTGATGCTAGGGGTTGTTCTATCCTCAGGCCTCCTTGGGCGAGGGCGAGGGGGCCTCAGGGCAGCCGTGTCACTCTGTCATTCCCAGGGGAGACGTCGTGAACCAGGATGATCTGTATCAGGCCTTGGCCAGTGGTCAGATTGCAGCTGCTGGGCTGGACGTGACGACCCCTGAACCCCTGCCTACGGACCACCCCCTCCTGTCCCTGAAGAACTGTGGTGAGAACCATGCTTTTCCATCTCTGCCGCCCTGTGGGACCCCGGTGCTGGCTGTGCAGCTGGAGTGGGTGTGGTCACGTGATGAGTGACGTGGGCTACAATGACTGGTCCTCCCGAGCACGCTAGGCTGGGTTTTTGTCCCTGTGTCCCCAGGGTTGAAGGCAGGGGTGAGTGGGTTTGTTTAAAAGGAACGGAGCAGGCCCACTTATGGGAGCACCTGTTGTTATGAACTGTCATTAGGGTTTGAGTGACAAATTACAGGTGTCATTACAGTGCTAGTGTCCACAGCTTAGGCCAGAAGTCCCCTGTATGCTGTGCGTCGTGGGGCGGGGCTGGCCCTGCTCATGTGGGCACTGGAGGACTTGTGCGCTCCGCCTCTCCCCTCCAGTCTGCAGTTTGCCTGGCGCTGGGCTGAGCAGCCAGGGCCCTGCCGCTGGCTCTGGGTTTCAGCTCCAGAGGGGCTGTGCTTCGGTCCCTGGGCGTTAGCATCCCACCCTCCCTGCTGGCCCCAGTGCTGGGGGAGATGTGTCAGGCAGGGGCCGCCTCTGACTTTCCCGTTTGTCAGTCACCTGCAGGGACTCATCAGACTGCACACACACACACACACACGCACACGCACACGCACACGCCCTGCGCCTGTGCATTTCTGCTGCTGGTCCTGGGACCCATGACAGCCAAGGCAGTGGCCACAGTGGATTTTGTTGGTATTTTTTTGCCTCCTCAGTTACCTGATTAACAACTTAACACGTGGTTAGTTCTTCATCTGGCGCTGCTGTTCAGGAGGCCAGTGTGGGCTCTGCCTGCAGCCTGTGAGTGCCCATGGCCATGAGTTTTCTGGGCCAGGCCTGTCCTTTATATTCCAGCCGGGAAACCCACACAGAAGGGCCTCAGCCGCCTTCCCCGGTCAGTGCGCCCATAACTGTGGCATTGGAGACCACTGTGGCACCCCTGCCCCTGCCCGTGGGGCACGCTGGCTGTGATGTCGGGTGCTGCCCTCTCCCCAAGGCCTGGCATTCAGCTTGGCACCCCCTGCGCCTCCAAATGCAGTTCCTAGGGGCGAGTGATCTCAGAGGCGGCCGTGCCGTCCACATTTGATCACAGTTAGGTCTGTAGGTCAGAAACTCTGTGGCATCACTTCCGGGGCCAGAGTGTGGGTGGTCGGTGCTCAGCTCCGAGGCAAGAGTGAAGGCAGGGCTGGGTCTCCACGGGCTCCGGAGCCTCCTGGCCCCTAGGTGCTCGTGTTCCTATGCAGATACCAAGAAGTTTTCTTTGAAGATTTATTTATTTGAAAAAGTTCCAGAGACAGGGAGAGAACCTTCCATCTGCTGGTTCACTCCCCAAATAGCTGCAAAAGCCCAGGGCTGGGTCAGGCCAAAGCCAGGAGGTTGTAACAGGTCTTCTAAATGGGTGGCAGATGGCCCAAGCACTTGGACTGCCATCTGCTGCTTTCCCAGGCAAACTAGCAGGGTGTTGAATCAGGATAGGAGCAGCTGGGACTTGAACTGGTGCCCATATGGGATGCCCACGTAACAGGCAGCAGCTTAACCTCTGGTGCCACAATGCAAGCCCCTCAATTTTTTGCCCCCAAATAAACATATCTTTAAATTCCATTTTCCACACACTTTTTGAGGTTCCTTTCTATTTGGGATGTCAGTCTCTTGCCCCACCTGTGCCTGGGTGTCAGCAGCCTGGAGTCCTTTGTGTGGAACCTCAGCCCCAGGGAGAGGTGTGCATGGTGACAGGAGGGAGGTGGTCTGGGAACCCTGAGGCAGCGCTCTGTTCCCCTACACGGGCTCCTGATCCATCCTCTCCTCTCCTTTCCAGTGATCCTGCCCCACATTGGCAGTGCCACCTACAAGACTCGCAACACCATGTCCTTGTTGGCAGCTAACAACCTGCTGGCTGGCCTGAGAGGGGAGCCGATGCCCAGTGAACTCAAGCTGTAGCCAGCCAGAGACCCAGAGGGCTGCAAGACGCACAGGCAGGACATGCGGCCACAGGAGGGAGCCGAAGAGAAGCCTGCTCCGTCCTAGTTCCATGAGGGACGCTGTGCCCGCTGAACCCAGCTGAGCCACAAGCGCACGATTCTGCCATTAAAGAATTCCAAGTGTCGTTTCGGCCTGTAACTCGGGAAGGCAACAGGAAAGCATGTGCTGGCTTTTCTTCCGGGGGGGGGGGGGGTGTCTCTGGGCACGTGCCCGTCACCGCTTCCCGCCCCAGGCTCACAAGAGCTTGTCCAAACCACTGTGTCTCTCGTCCTCTGCCCAAATTCCTGCCCTCATCACTCTGAGGCCAGGACAAGTGGAGCCCAGCTGGGGCTGTGGTGCTAGAATCCTAGCCACTAGACCACCAGGGACATACTTTTTTTTTTTTTTACAGGCAGAGTGGACAGTGAGAGAGAGACAGAGAGAAAGGTCTTCCTTTTCCGTTGGTTTACCTCCCAATGGCTGCCGCGGCCGGCACACTGCGCTGATCCTATGGCAGGAGCCAGGTGCTTCTCCTGGTCTCCCATGGGGTGCAGGGCCCAAGCACTTGCGCCATCCTCCACTGCACTCCCTGGCCACAGCAGAGAGCTGGCCTGGAAGAGGGGCAACCGGGACAGAATCCGGTGCCCCGACCGGGACTAGAACCCGGTATGCTGGTGCCACTACGTGGAGGATTAGCCTATTGAGCCACGGTGCCGGCCTGTGGTGCTAGAATCCAACACCTAACCTGTGAGAATTAAAGAGCACGCCCAGTGCGGGACAGTGCCTGGGAACAGACACCAGACAAGGTCTCCACACTCTTGTATTTGAGGTCACTAGTACTTGGAAGTAGGTGGGTCTTTTTTAAGATTTACTTATTTATTTGAGAGACAGAGTTATAGACAGAGGGAGAGGTCTTCCATCTGCTGGTTCACTCCCCAAATGGCTGCAACAGCAGAGCTGGGCCAATCCAGAGCCAGGAGCCAGGAAGTGCTTCCAGGTCTCCAACATGGGTGCAGGGGCCCAAGGACTTGGTTTTTCTTAGCCCTATCAACAGGGAGCTGTATCAGAAGTGGAGCAGCCGGAACCTGCGCCCAATATGGGATGCTGCGGGTGGAGGCTTCATCTACTATGCCACAGTGCCAGTCTCGGTAGGTGGGTTTCTTGATTTCAAGTTTTCTTTTTTTCATTTTAGTTGACAAAGGGTCAGAAAGAGTTCATCCATCTGCCAGTTTACTTCCTAAATGCCTGCAACAGCCTGAAGCAGGACCCTGGAACTCTATCCAGGTCTCCTACATGGGTGGTAGGGGTCTAAGCACTTGACCCATCACCTGCTGCTCCCTAGGGCACGCGTGAGCAGAAGGCCGATGTCAGAAACAGAGGTGGGACTGGAACCAGGGCCCTCTGATGTGGGGTGGCGGCATCCCTGGCTGTAACTTAACCTCTGTGCCAAATGCCCTCATGGGTGGGTTTCAGCCCCTACACACTGCACCCTCTGCCCATCTCATCCCCCACCCCAAGCAGGATGCTTTTTTAATCACTCCCTCTCCTCTTCCTGACGAGGCCTCTAGCACGGCCCTGGCCAAAGCACGGCTGGGTGCTGAAGGAAGCAGCTTCCAGCTCTTGCTTGCAGCTGCCTGCCAGCAAACGGTGTTCTCAGTTTGGGCAGAAAGTGTGGGGTGGGGGCCCTCTGAGCTGGGTGGCAGATACCTCACATGTACCCACAGATCAAAGACAGGGTGCAGGCAAGGCAGAGGGACTAATCGAGGAGAGCAACCACTAATTTATTAACAGCATGATTTTCTAGGACACTTGGTTTTTAAAAAGTACTGTTCAAAGCATGGCTAGCCAAGAAGGCAGCATCACTTCCCATCTTTGTTTCAACCTTAGTAATGTAAGCAAAGAACAGGTATTTAGAGGCATGAATATGACAAATTTTTTATTTCAAAATCTCAAATTCCCACCAGATAGCACCACTGACATGGGTGCCCTGACACAGCTTTGTGATGTGATCACCAAGATTCTACACAATTATGCAGGCTAGAATTAAGGCTAACCAATCGGAATTCAGGTACCCAATACCAGTTAGAATCCAGTAGAAACGGCAGGTCGAAGGGACCCTGAGACTGGTTCCTCAGGGGACCTTGGAATCCTAAGTGCTACAACACGTCCAAGGACACTGGCCCGCAAGCTTGCTTCTCAGGTGTAGAAACTAAGAGGTAGATGAGAGGATCCAGGTGCTGTCTGGCAGTGGAGAGGAGACGGGGCTCCAGCATAGGGCACAGGCCCCAAGAGCAACATCCAACTTACAGCTGAGCTGCAGCACGAAGCAGGCTCCTGGCACCACCTCCTCGGGATGGAAGGGAAGGAGAGCTGTCCCCATCCTGCTCCCCTGTCACTGGCTCCCCTTCCCGGGCAGGGCCTCTCGTCTCCATGCTGACCACCTGACTCCCAAGGTGAATCTCAACACACTGGTCCCTGCGTTGTGTAGAGGGCTGGATTTAGGGCCCCTGCACATCACGTCAAAGCATGGTTGCTGACAGTGAGACACATCCTCCCGTGTCTGCTCAACAGGTTTTCTTTTGGATTTCCCTCCCTGGGGATCGTCAGCAGGCGACGCTGAGCCCTTCTGTGGATGTGACAGGTCTAGCCACAGATAGGTAAGATGTGGATTAATAGAAAACACATGCTCATGTTTGTTGTAGGCTATATAAATGTTTAGCTTTCTAAACATAAGAACTGAGTAACTGAATTACACACAAAGGTTTGGTATCATTAAGAAAGCAGTATAAAACAATTAAATGAATGCACATTCATGCGTAACTAAACTGACTTGGCGAGTGCCACAGAGATGCACTGGTCTGTGCTGTTCTCTGGATGCAGGTGAGCCAGGGCTGAGCCTAAACTCAAATTCCGGTGCCACCAGCAGCCATGATGGTCAGTGCCCGTGGGGAGCAGGGAGGCTTCCAGGCAGTGACCCCAATGTCTGCCCACCAGTCTTGGATGCTACCTGGTGACTTCTAAGTTATAGGCTGTCTACCCCTTACACAGCCGGGGAAATATTTATCCATGAACGGTACTACATTGGATTTCAGACCATTTTAAACAGTATCAGGTTGAGGGGTAATAACACTAATAAAAAGTTCAGAGTCTATAAAAGTACAGTATATAACAATAACAAAACCCATGAGGGAGGGGGGTGACACTGTTTTTGGTTAGTCTGTAACTGAAAACAACACAGGCCTGGGGTACGGGAATGTGAAGCAACGAGACGGAGAGGCTCGTCCTCGGGTGGGATGTGACCGACTGGACTGGCCCTGGACACCTGGGTGAGCAAAAGGTTTGTGTGCCACGGAAGACCCCACAAAAAGCGATTACATCATCAGAACAAAGACAACACTAGCTTTTTTCTGACTTCCAAACGTGAGACTGTAACATTACTAATACAAGTTAAAATACTGCTAAGACAGCACATACAGAAACAATACCTTACTTGTCACTTCCTACAAGTACATACTCCATTTACAACTTTGTTCTTAAAACCAGAGAACTGTTAAGACATCTACCCAACAGGGGTGTTTCCGGAAGTATCTACACTAACAGTCCAAGAGCACACGTGCTCTGGACCAGTGTCAGCACCATCAAAGTGCAGTGCCTGTGACTGCAACTCGGACAGAAGTAAAAAATACAGTACTTTCTGAGGCCGGGGACGCGCTCAGGATATACTTTAAAGCATTTGTGGCAGACAGGCATGTCCTCAAGGGCCTTTTAGACAGGCACCAAGTCACCACCAGTTGGTTACACGTAAGTGCGTTTTTGTATCACTGTACAAGGATATAACATTCCCATCAGAAGGAATAGGAAATTTAATTAAATGCTTCAGAGTTTTACAAAAATTGTTAAAAAAATTTTTTGCACTTCACTTTTTTAAATGTGCTGCTTTTAACAACATCAATTACAAACTACTACGAATGCACTGCTTGACCCTAAGGTAGAACTTGGTTCAGGGATCCCATCCCTCTCCCGAGGTGCACAGGCCACTCGGCCCCGTGGCAGCACTAGGGCGACACGCAGTAGTTCTCCACTTACTAGCTGTTGGAATCTTCAAGAGCCACAGGGCAGTCTGAAGCCCCAAGCCCCACGGCACTAACTGCCACCCAACACAGACTTTCATTTTGGTCCCACAGCTGGCCTTGACCTTGTCTGGTGAGGGCGGTTAGAGCAAAGTGCTGGGCAGATTGCTGCTCTGCCAGCGCAGGCAGGTGGTCTTCGAGTGTTTGTACAGGTGGCTTGACTGACTAAACCGCTTGCCGCACTTGAGGCAGGCGTAGGGCTTCTCGCCTGTGTGAACGCGGATGTGCTTCTTGCAATCGGTCAGAGTCAGGAAAGTTTTGCAGCAGATTTTGCAGGCATACTTGCGTGCTCCCTCCACAACCAGGACGTTGTGCTCTGACAAGGCTTTCTTGCACTTTGACAGGACGTCAGCGGAGGCCCTGGTCAACTGCGGAGGGCCGGGCTGGGAAGGGTGACTGTTTTCAAATGAGGACGAGGCCCCATTCATCATTAGCTGGGAACTGGCAGTGTTTTCTGGGATCTGTGAGCTCCTGACGGAAGTTACAACTGGCATTTTGGGAGCTATGCGGCGGTAGTATGGAAAGTTACTGGCTCCTCCTCTTGGGGAACCCATCATTACCCTGGAGAAGGAGGAGTGGAGGCCCAAGCCAGGCCTGGAAAAATCCATCCCAAACTGTTCTCCTCCTTGGTAGCCTGAAGTCTGCACACAGGGCAGGCCCATCACCTCCTGCACGGGCCTGACAAAGTGGGAGTCTGCAGGCTCACTGAACGGGTTCTCCACGTGGGAGCCGGGGGCAGAGGAGGGCCCACCTGCAGGCCCAGCCTCTGGACTCAGCAAGTAGGGGGCCTCGCCCTCCAGCCTGCAGTCACTCGTGGTGTTCGGGATGTTATCATCACTGTTCTGATTCGCCCCGAAGTTACTTCCTCTGCTCTTGTTTAGAAAATTTGAAATGCTAAAAGAAGACTTATGCTCTAGGTTATTTGTGACTTCCAAAATGTGGATGTCACCTACCCTGTCCGTGCTCGACTGGGGATCTGAGAAACTCCGGTCACTGCTTTCGGGGCTCAGGTCGA